AACATAATTATAAAACCTAAACAATTAAAATGTGAACAATAGAGTTAACACTTAAATGAACGAGGTTTAGTGCAGATTTTCTAACATTCATAATTAATGAACAAATTAATATTCATAAATTAGTGTCCAAAATAGTATGTGTAACTCCATGTATGTTATGTCCAATACATATATAGTTTACCGAGCAACTGGTTGTTTTAATTATAGTATGGAATAGTTGGTTAATAATAAAGATATATGTCAAATTACTGATATCAAAAATGAAAATTTTTACTAGTAGCAATTCAATTGTTGATATCAAGAATAGACGTCTGTACTAGTAACAATGTGATTACTGATATAAAAAAAGGTTTTCACTAGTAAGAATTGTATTTCTGATATGTGAAATTGTATTTTTGTACAAATTGACATTTAACTAGTGAAAATGCAATTACAGATATCAAGAATTAGCATTTTAACTAGTGAAAACTGAACTGTTGATATCAAGAATTAACATTGTTACTAGTGGAAATGTAATTGCTGATATCAAAAATAGCCAATAGTATAAATCCAATTCCTGATATCAAGAATTAACATTTTAACTAGTAAAAATTGAATTGTTGATATCAAGAATTCATATCCAGCAAATGAATAAAAGTCAATACGGCTTGCCTATTGCCATTCCCAGGATATAAATGATTGATATCAAGAATAATATTTTTTACTAGTAGAAATTTAATTGCTGATATCAAGAATTCAATTCCTGCGAGTGATGATGTCATTGTTGATATCAAGAATTAACATTGTTACTAGTGGAAATGTAATTGCTGATATCAAAAATAGCAATTGTTACTAGTAGAAATCTAATTCCTGATATCAAGAATTAATATTTTAACTAGTGAAAATTTAATTGTTGATATCAAGAATTCATATTCTGAGAATGAATAAAAGTCAAAACGGCTTGCCATAGGCCGCCTCCAGTTTCCCCTTTGTTTTGCTGCCTCCAGCTAGCGCTGTGACGTCGGCTGACCCTAGTTACCTGTGGTTGGCCTGGCCGTGCGTCACTCAGAAAACAACAGGCCAGTCAGAAGAAAGGCTCATGAATATTAATTAGACAGAACAAAATCGACCTGTTCTCATCAGAGCTCCTGAGAGAGGAGCTGTAAAAATATATTGAGATGGTTTTTGGTACTTATACCGCAAATATATATTCTTAAGGACATCAAAACCTAAAACAAAACTCCAGAAAAGTGTACAATATGGGACCTTTAAGGTTTTGTTTTTTACTTACAATATCTAGCTAGCAGATTGATCTTCTGGAATGGATTAATTTGACCAATGCATTATAATATTATGAATCTTAGACAATCTGTTTATTGTTTCATTTAGGTAGCAGTGAAATATGTCACAAAGACAGAGAATGTAGAATACATCAGTATCGTAAGTAGGCTGTGCTCTCTATTTTTCTCCTCTGTCTATTCACTTTAAAACATTCATATTACTATAGCTGATTTTTCAATAGACAAGCTGCCATTTTCATCATTTTGTGAAATACCAGTCTAAGTCGTAATTTGGGAAACCACATCCATCTAACCGTAAAAAATTTTTTATTTCTTCAAGCCGGGTCATTCCAAGCCCCTCCCACTAGAGGTTGCACTGCTCGTCCTCGCCAACAGAGGCCCCTGCATTCCAGAAATAATCCAGCTGCAGGACTGGCAGGACCAGCATGACCATTATATTATGGTGATGGAGCGTCCCTCCCCCTGCGAGGACCTGTTTGCTTTTGCAGAACGCCATGGAGGCAGCATTGATGAAGCCTTAGCTCGTGTCATCATGCGGCAGGCAACACAGGCTGCCTACATGTGCTGCCGCCGTGGCGTTCTACACAGCGATATTAAACTTGAAAATCTGCTCATTAATAAGGAGACCCATGAAGTCAAGCTAATTGACTTTGGGTGTGGCGACCTCCTTAAGAAATCGGCCTACAAGATATTCACTGGTGTGTATTATCCCTCAGGCCATAACATTGGAACCATTGTTGTGAATCATATAGGACCAAATGCTAATGGATGCCTGGAAAGAATGCTGTGGTATTGCAAACTTACAGATGTATCTCTTTCCTTCAGACACTGATCAGTACTGCCCCCCGGAGTATAAGGAGAAGGGCGAGTACAATGGGAAGCCAGCAACAGTCTGGTCTCTTGGTGTTCTCTTGTTCGCATTGGTGTGTGGGGATTATCCCAACACTGATGACTTAAACAAGATCAATGCGAACAATTTCTCCAAAGCTGGCTTGTCAGAAGGTGAGCTTTTCATGACAATTAAGAAAGCAATTTGTATAAAGATGCTCAGGACACCGGCCCTCCAGGACCGAGTTTGGGCAGCCCTGCTTTAGAATAACATGATCAGAGATAGGAAGTGTGAAGTTCAAAGTAATAATCAGACATTTCTTACATCATTCGACATAGAATGCTGCCAGTTGATTAGTTCTTGTCTCCAGCAAGAGCCAGAGTAGCGGCTTCGATTAAGTGAGATTATTTTTCATGACTGGTTTGAGGTACTACGCCTTACTTGTTTTGTGAAGAGTTTGAAGGTGTATTTTTGGGTTTCTTATAACCATAAGGCTATATAGACATTAGCTCAGGAAAATTTTTTCTGAATTACTTCTGAAAATCTGATTACTTTTGATTTTGTTTTAGGTCACAGTTGTGGAGAATCCGAAAACAATGTAAAGAAAAGGACAGAAACCCTTGGAGTGGCTCTGCAGTCATGTCCCCAAAGGTTCTTGTCAAATCATCAAGCAAGGCGACTTCACCCTAGAGCTCCCTGTCCTAGCCCCCAACATGTTCCTGTCAATGTTGTGTCAGAGGTTGAGCCTCGTCAGAGCTAGTACCTGTCTCCAACTTCCACGTCCCAAGATGTTCCAATCTGTTTGGCCCTAGTCATAGCTGTTCCCAAGGCAGTCCTGGTACTAGGGAATACAGTTTCCCCAAAGATTCCTGCCACAGAGCCAGTGCCAGAGATCACACCAGTTCCAAAGTCTCCTGTCTTTGGCGACCCTGTACCACAGCTCCCTATCTTGGGCTTCCTGAAACCCAGGGGTTTGTGCCATTCTGTGTGTCAGATTTGTAGTCTTTAGTGACATCATTAAAATGTATGTGAAAGTAAATGTCTTAGCTCCCTTCTATGGCTACCATAGAGGGAAATGTTATGGCCCCAGTCAACGCCAGAACCTAAAGCCGGCTCCTTGTTTTGGTGTGCCTATGTCTTTGTCCCTAAGGTTTCCTGGAGCCAATCGATATTTCCTGTTACAGCCATCTCAGATGTTCATGGAATGGCAAGGGTTGCCACTGTCATGGACAGCTTGGTCCCCAAGGTCCTGAACATGCTACTCTGATCTCAGAGCTGTCCTTTCACACCTGCCCTTGTTTATGTAATCACCCTAGTCAAATCAGTGTCCATTATTGGCTTAGTTCTAGAGCTCAGTTTTAGACTGCCCAATTTTCCGAGCTCCCCATCCAGCAATGTTCCTGTCACTAGGTTCCTTTTATGGACCTTGCCAAAGCCATGCCCATGGTCTCCTCGGTCCCAGAGCTCCCTATTTCTAGTTGCCTCAGGCCGCTCTAGTCCAAGTGTTTCCTTCCACTCAAATGTTAGTGTCAGGACTGCCTCAGATGTTCCTGTCTCTGCCTCTTGAGGTATTTAACTAGAATGGCATGAGGCCATCCCAGTTCCAGATATCCCTGTCTGAGGCCACCACAGTCACAGAGCTCCCTCCACACTGCCATAGGTCACTGTCACTGCCTATAGGTTCCTGTCATGGACCCATCCAGAGCCCAAAGCCTTCCCTGTCCTGTCCTGTCACTGCCATCTTTATAGCCAACGCTCAAAGATACCCTGTCTTCAGATGCCCTGGTCCTGCCTCGATCTTCATTCAAAATAAACAATAAAGAACATAATATGCATCAATTAAACTGGCCTTGTTCATATTGACAATAATATTATAATCTGCTGAAGGTAAGTATTGGTTTATAGAGGTAAGTACTAGTTTACAATGTGTTTTTTTTTTTTTTTGATGACTGTATACTGACATCACAGTGTAACATTATTCCAAAGCCGCTCCCACTCTGGATATGCATTTTTGGTAAAACAAGACACATTAACAGTTTCAACATTATTTGTTCTTCCGACATTCCTCTTTGGAGGTTTTGAATAATTGAGAATTGGTCAAATCAAATTTAGTAATCTCCGAGTAATGAGACTGCCACTTTTAATGATGCTGAATGAATGAATGAATGAATGAAGCATTTATATATAAATTCATATATAAATGTTGCCAAAAATATATATTTTTAACCTCTAATTTTACATAGGCAAATTATAGGCAAAAGGTGATTGCCATTTTTAGTAATGGACTATGCAGTAAATATTGATCAATGGCATTTAATATTTAGGCTTTTATTATCATGTGTATCTTCTTGTTTGTAGTCTTTAGTAACATCTAGTGGACAAAGGACAGAATTACAAATCTGTAAACATTTTAGGTTTTTGACAAATAACATAGAATTGTTTTCCTCCAGCATCTAGGTTTTATGTTAAAATGTATGTTAAAATATATTTATTAGAAATGCATTCTTTATATTCATGTTTGTGTCAAAAACATAAACAGACCAGTTTCATAAAAATGTATATATTAAAAACATGTTCGTTATAGAACAAATCATTGTCTGCAATGTTTTTTTTAATGTATTTTTAAGTGAATGGATAGATCAGGATATATTAGGTGCTGGAACTTTCCTTATTTTTTGCCATTTTTAACATTTACCTTTTTTCTGTTTACCTAGCTATATTGTTTGACAAATCATTTATAATGTGTGTGTGTGTGTGTGTGTGTGTGTGTGTTAGTACACTTGAACACTTATCAGTTAAACCATTTCAACAGGCATTCCTTCTAAAAGCGGTTTTATTGGTTGTCATTGAACTGTCTGACACTTAAAGGGTCCTCAGACAACATTTAACATATCAGCAGTAAAAATAATCTGAGAAATAAAATGTGTTTCATAATCCATAATATAGATTATTGCCACAATCGAAACAGATGCAATGCAGTCTGAGTACTATACATACAGTATATGTTAACCATAGTTACCATCCACAAATAAGTTCAAGCTAGAGTTCAGTACATACAAGTTAAGTGCTGAGGTATAAGATTCATCCATTTTGAAGAAACACTCAGTTAAAGTAGTCAATTAAAAGACCTTGACATGATACTTATATAAACAGGGAACAGATACATTAAAGTTCACAGTCTTGTTAAAACTCAATAATTTTTCACTTGAAAAGTTAGGGATAAAACTAAAAGATTAATCAGTCCGTCAAAAGCACCAATAATAAAAGAGTTATTCCCCTTATATGCTGTAAAAATCAGCTTCTATCTGTTGGATGAGATTTCTAGTTAGTGTGCTAAGTACCAGTTTTCAAGATTACCAAGTAATCTTGAAAAAAGAAGACATTTACTGTCGTTTTATTAAGAACTGGTGGCAGCATGCTGTTTCTGTTTAGCTGACAAATGTGAAAAAAATATTTACAAAAAGGTGTATACTTAGCTAATAATCCATGAAAACGTGTTGTGTCAGCTATGTTCAGTTATGTTCTTGTTGTAATACTGTGTGTTTTAAGACACGTATTAACTTCCAGGAAAGCTTGGCTCTCCTAGTTAATTATGATGGTGTTCCTTTTGACTGGCCACAGGAGGCGCTCTTTCCTGATTATGTTCACCTGAGTACTGCGCTGTGCCAAACCCTTTCTTTCTTCCAAAGAGATCATTGTGACACCGTTTTTCAATATACTGAGCTGGATAGAGTGCATTTTGTGTAAGTGAATCTTAACACACGCCTTACAAAAAAATCCTGCAGGAATCCTGTAGGATTTTGGTTCCAAGTGCTGACACAGTGCAGGGATTGAGACACATTCACAAGAGAAATTTGTGTTGCTTCCCAGATAGCACACGTACGTCTGCAAGATGTCTATTAAAGATCGCTTCATCTGGAAAGCATTTGCTGTGTACAAACATCTGATAGATGTCTCTAAGATGTCAATTTTTTTACATACTTTCTAAATCATAAACAACTTAAAGACATTTTCTAAACGTCTATTTGACATCTGATAGGAAACGTCCTATAGACGTATTGCAGATGAGCAAACACTCTAAAAAATACGTGTGTGCAAGTGCAGACGTCAAATAGACGTCTCCGTGATATACGTGTGCTATCAGGGTTATGTGTTTGTACATGGTTTCTTCTTGACTTTTCTGGCATACAGGAAGTACATGGTGTGTCCCGTGAAAATGAATAGGATGGAGATGATGACAAGGATGCCGAAGTGTTGTGGCTGGGGTGCAGAGATGACCATGATGAAGTGCAGCAAGTCCATCAGGTAGTTCATGGAGCTGTGGACTCCATTCACCACCCCACGCTCTGATTCACATATGGTCTCCTGCAAGAGCTGAGTCACTGTCAGGTCAAAGGACCAGAGACCTGGAAAATAACAACACCTTATATAATATTTTGGATAACACATCATGGTGATATCACGTGTAATATAATCAATTAGCATACTATTCTTACTAAATTAAGATGTTGAGTCAGACCACATGACATTTTAGAACCAGAAATAATCTTTCCTTGCCATAAAAAGTTCAAACTATATTTAATACTTTAAGAGACTCTCTATGATAACATTTCCTTTTTCATAAGGAAAAAAAAGTCAGAATTGCAAGATATAAACTAAGACTAAAAAATGAAAAAGCTAATTGCGACTTTTTTTCTTGCAAGTTTATATTTCACAATTTGGCCTGTAGCGAATCACTGTTCTGCTTTCCTGAGGTGTTACGCATTTCGGGGGAAGGGTCCATAGGTCCTCATATGGCTTGTTAACTGAGGGGTGTTACAGAGTATTTGTTAAATATAGCTAACAAAATATATATTGTGTGTTTGATTGGTCCAGACGCTACAGGACTTTTCTTCTCAGCATTGCTTGTTTATATCTCACAATTACAAAAAGATAAGCATAAGACTTTTTTCTCAAAGTATCTTGCGAGTATCTCACAAATCTCATAACATTTCTCAGAATTGTGAGGAAAAAAGTCAGAATTTTGAGATATATATACACTTCCATAAATGTGTTTTGCAGACCATTCCCCCCAAATATTAATAAGCAATGAAACAGTTTTATTGAAATATTTTTCCTAAGAAATAATAAGATTATCAAACTATTTAATATTTTTGAAAGAATTAATTATTTTAATGAAAAATATAATATTTTTATTACAGAAATTAAAAACATGCACAACATGGAATACATTATTTTATGTACCTATCTAAGGGCACATTAAATGTATCAAATGTAACAGTAAGGATATGTTACAAAGATCTCTATTTGTATTCTATTTTTATTTCTATAATATGTATTCTGTTCACCAAAGAATGCTAAAAAATGTATCATGGTTTCCACATAAAATATTAAGCAGCATACCTGTTTCCAACATTGATAATAAGAAATGTTTCTTGAGCAGCAAATCAGCATATTAGAATTATTCCTGAAGGATCATGTGACACTAAAGACTGGAGTAATGATGGTGAAAATTCAGCTTTGCATCACAGGAATAAATTACATTTTAAAAATAATAATAATAAATTATAATAATTTCACTACAGTATATTCCTGTTTTTACTGCTTTTTGATCAAATAAATCCAGTGATAAATTTGATAAATTAGTGAAACTTCTTTCAAAATTGTTACTGACCCTAAACATTTGAACGGTAGTGTATGAATTTTTATTTATTATTATTATATATAAAAAAAAAAAAAAAGGACAAAGCAGGCATCTACTCACCAACTCGAGCTGTAATAACTCCAAGGAACAGCAGGATGATGGAGATGTAAGATTCGGGTTCTGTCCCTGCTGGCACTTTCTCAAACAGCACAGTGTTATTGGTCCAGTGAATGGAGGAACGGTCTGGCAGCAGAGGCTGGTTGATGCTTCCACGCAGTGGGTATCCGTGCCTCTGGTGACCTCCGGTCATCCCACCCACATCTGACGCATTCTTGATATTTAGCACGCTGAGGTCCAATGGGCTACCGGGGGCAAACACGGAGCACAAACAAAGCAACAGGCAAACTAGGTGCAGACAGCTGGAAATGACTCCAGTATTGACCAGGCCACATGTTTTCCGCAGCTTTGTGAAAAGCACAGTACCCAAAAGCCCTGCCACAGCTGACATGCCCATCAGTATGCTGAGCAATGAGCCGCTAATGTCTCCAATCAAAGCACCTAATAAGAGCACCGATCCGGCCACCACCAGTCCAAAGATGCCAGTCAACAGCAGGTTATGCCCATACAGCTCAATCAGGAAGACAGACATGGCGAAATGCCACATGCGATCACCCTGGCACGCGAAAAGAGACGATCGGCTCAAGATATCATACTTCACATACCAAAATTCACATCTTTTGTGTGGTACTCAAAGTATTATGAAAAATCCTGTGTGCCAGAGCTCATGCCCTGCTTACTGAGTGCCAGCATGGCAGATACGAAAGCGGCTCCTTACCCACATAGATAACGCTCCGCTCACATAGATGAGGAACTCGGGGCCCTTGAGGTAGATGAGGGCTGACCCTATGAGATAAAGAGTCTCGAAAGATTTATTTCTTGAATGTGCATTTGTTTTAGAATAATTGACTGTTTAAATCCAGACAGCAAGAACAAGCAGGCTTTGCAGATTCTAAGCATCTTCTAAAATAGCAGATGAATGTTTCTCTATTTTAATCACTCTAAGCCATACTTTAACATTTAAAAGGATTGTTCACTCAAAAATTTAATTTACTCTCTAAACCCATGTTTTGTTTTGTTTTCCCCATGGAGCATTAAAGTAAACATTATGAAGGTTTGTGCTGGTCGCTCCATGCGGTTATGATGAACGGGGACTGAGGATTTTAGTTTAGTCTCATAAACTGTAAACTCAAGATCCGGATCATTCTGATTCGAAAATCATCATTCTATTTTGTGAACCAGTTAAACGAAGTCTGAAAAACTCAACTCTAATGATTCATTAGTGAATCAGACATTCCTACTGTTCTCATGAACTGGCAAGAACATGAAAAGCTTGGTTGATTCACAATAATTACTTAAATTTTAATCCGTTTGTAACACAAAACTATAATACATAACTCTGGAATTACTTGGGTGTCATGGAAAAGCATGACGTTCCTCTAGTGTTCCACGAAAGAAATTCAAGCGCTTTGGAATGACTTAGAATGTTCACTAAATATTGACTCCGTTTTCAAATTTGTGTAAACTGTTCCTTGCATATTCTGTCAAGCAAATTGGTTAATTATGGCATAATTAATTACGTCGAAATACAGCAGATATTGACTAGTTTGAAGTATTAAACCACTTCCCTCTATGCACGAAGCAGTCAAAATAGTTTGATTGAGTTAGTTTGAAGAAACATACGTGGTATATTCCTGGCTTTGATCACAGGTGAATCTCTGTCATTATTATTGTCAAACTCCACAGCAACACCACCACACTGGGCCACCTCTATTCTGAGAGACATCCTGCATGAACAGCATGACTGTATTAGAATCGGGTCAATAAATGATAGATGCATAAATCGTTCAAAATAAATATTTAAAATAAAAAGTTCTTTTGTTGGCATGGTTGTCATGCCCTACAATGAGGCCTAATATATACAAACCTGTAAAAAAAAAAAAAATAATAATTTTTAATACCCTAAAATGTATGCAATCATTAGTCTATAGTAAATAATGTTTAGTTAATCGTGTCACATTTTAAATGTGTATAGTTTGCTATCACATCTAATAAATACTAAGTACATAGTACAATACTAAATATTTTAGCATTATCAACGGCCATGAATTCAGCCATTTAGCTTGTTTTTAATTTATTATACACTACCATTCAAAGGTTTGGGTTCAACATTTTTTTTTTGCGTTTTTCGAAAGAAGTCTCTTATGCTCACCATGGCTGCATTTATTTATTTAAAATAGAGTAAAAGCAGTAATATTGAGACATATTATTACAATTTATTCCTGTGATGGGAAAGACCATTGTATGAAACTGCCAGAAAAGCAGAACGAGTCACAGGCTGACAAAGGCAGCCAGCATATTCCACAGCACGTGACAGTGAGGGGGGACAATGTCACCGTTTACCCCCCACATCACAAAAAAGACCACCCTGTCACTCAAATCTCACACACACACACTCATATAGTAATAAAACTCTCGACATACTTATTCAACACAACATCAACATAGTGATGTTTGCATTGAGATATGTTAATTTTTATTGCCATGCCCTGATATGATTACATATTTAATCAGTTAATAGTCAGTCAAAACAGTCTATTATTATATATCAAAATGTTTTATGGCAGTCATTCAGAATGTACTGTTCAAACAATGATGATTATGTAGCACTTTGAACCCTTTAGATTAACATATATAATGAACATATAATGAATTCTCTTTATCGCACCACCACACTTCAGATAACAAAATAATACAACTTAAAAGCCCAAAACATACATACTTTAGCAAATGAATCATAGTTTTCACAAATGTTGCTATACTGTATGTCTGTTAATTTTGACCTACAAATTATACTTATATGTAGTGTGAGCTTTAATAGATCAGTATTGAAGATGCTTTTTTTTTCTCTTTACAATATATAATCAACAATTTGAGTGAGAATTTGAATTGGCAAATGAACGTGAATGTGAAACCTGATGATCATCATTTGAAAACGAACCAAAGAGCATCTTGAGATTCAACAGAACCAAGAACATCTGACTGTCACATGATCAATATTACAAATTTGATTGACCTAGAAATTGCGCGAAATATGAAATATCTCTTCATCATTTTGCATCATAACATTGTTTTAGTTTTCAGTTTTTAATTAAAATGTGATTCCCAGACTTTCAGTGTTACCTCAGCCTTTCTGATCCCACTTTACACCAAATATTGAAATACTAAAGCCAAAAAAGACAGGTAGAAAAAAAAATCACCTGATATTTGACTCCTCCTTTGAGTCCTCTTTGCTATGAGTGCTTGTTGTGTCTCAAGGTTGTGCTATCCATGTGTCCCAGGTAAGGATGCTTCCATGCAGGCCTGAATTCCAGCAGTCGCACTGTGAGGGACTTGATAACATCATAGTGCATGAGGGCACCATTGTATGAAACTGCCAGAAAAGCAGAACGAGTCACAGGCTGACAAAGGCAGCCAGCATATTCCACAGCACGTGACAGCGAGGGGGGACAATGTCACCGTTTACCCCCCACATCACAAAAAAGACCACCCTGTCACTCAAATCTCACACACACACACTCATATAGTAATAAAACTCTCGACATACTTATTCAACACAACATCAACATAGTGATGTTTGCATTGAGATATGTTAATTTTTATTGCCATGCCCTGATATGATTACATATTTAATCAGTTAATAGTCAGTCAAAACAGTCTATTATTATATATCAAAATGTTTTATGGCAGTCATTCAGAATGTACTGTTCAAACAATGATGATTATGTAGCACTTTGAACCCTTTAGATTAACATATATAATGAACATATAATGAATTCTCTTTATCGCACCACCACACTTCAGATAACAAAATAATACAACTTAAAAGCCCAAAACATACATACTTTAGCAAATGAATCATAGTTTTCACAAATGTTGCTATACTGTATGTCTGTTAATTTTGACCTACAAATTATCCTTTAATTTTATTATTGTGTGTGTGTGTGTGTGTGTGTGTGTGCTTTTGTGTATTATAGTCTACCACTTATTGATAGACCAAAGAACATTATGTAACTCAGAAAAACATATGCATATATACTATAGTCTGGTGCTTAAAAAACACTGCTTTATTATATAGTACTATATATTAATCTATACCTTTTGATGATGTTAATGATCCTGCTCTCGTTAATATTAATGTTGAATCTGAAAAAAAAAGATTTGGTTTGTCAGAGTCCTAAGTTTGCAGGATTTAATTTAACATGAATGGAAAGACATGTACAGGACTGTCCTATAGCTGATTGCAAAAAGTATGAATAATCATAACAGATTATAAGCAAATTATCCAATGAGACAAATAGACATATATTATTAAAGATAAATATTTACTGCACTTGCGAGAAAACATTCCTCACAAACATTCTTCACAAAATCTGTATTGGGGGGAAAAAAAGATGTTTGGGTTAAATCTTAAAAAAGAAGAAAAAAAAAATACTGTTTCTCTACAGTCACAATTCAAAATTACATGGCATTATTTGTTACAAAAATAAATAAATAAAAAAAACATTATCTGCCATATGCCACTACCAAATATGACAGAATTCTCCTATTTTCTCTTATTTCACTCAAAATTTGGCATATTTTCTATTATATATCACTAACATAATGACTAATTTTTATTATCTAATTAAGATCTTAATTTATCCATACACTGCTAGTAAACGTGGCTGTGTTATGGAAATTTGGAACACAAAAGCTGGAACCATGCTTGACATTTTGGCAAATAGAGGCATATTTTTAATAGGGACAATGGCAAAAAAATAATAGCAATATTCCAGCAATTCTGGAAAAGGCATTTTTCTAACCTTTGAATGTATGTGTGGGGCCTATAAAACTACAGAATTTTAAATTGGATCTCATGTGTAGAACTTTTGGTCAGATTTCTGTGACTTTTGTGACTTCAGTTCTTCATCCTGTATATGAACTTTGTAAGATCCAGAATTAATTTCTTGAACTGGGGCACTGGGGTGTTTCTTGCAGCAGTATTCTCGTATGGCTCTGAAAACAGCAGTGCCGGGTACAGACAAACTAGGGATCCCAGCCAGGAGAAAGATTATTACATAAATCCATGAAGGATATGGCTTCTTCTCTAAGGTTGGGAAGTTTTCCTATAAATGAGAACAAGATAATTTAATTAATTCCAAATGAATGCTTTGCAAATTACAGTTTTTTATTTTTTTTGTAACAAGAATCATGTTAAACTGATTAAACTTGTAGATCACCGATTCAGGGTCCCAGGCAATGTAGAAGATTTCCTTGGTCACTATGGTGGAGAAGTAGAAGATGAAGATGGCTAACATGATGATGGGACTTATGACTCTCCATGTGGCTTGCCAGAAGATGTTAGGCTTATGTCCAATCATAAATAGCAGGTCTTCATTGAACCTGTTCATAAACAGAAGATAACATACTTTATGGCTGATTTCAGTGAGCTTTATCTAAACAATAAAGTCATAAATGCATTGTCACTGTGAAAACATCCGTGAATTGCTGATACGTGATTAAACTGTTCTACAGAAACAAATTTATCTTCTTTAACTTGTTTATGTTGTATAACCAATTCTAATCATCTTGTTTTGTAAGGGTTAAAGGAACAGCTCAACCAAAAATGAAAATCTGCTGAAAATGGACTCGCAGACCTTCCAAGATGTAAATGAGTTTGTTTCTTCATCAGAGCAGATTTGGAAAAGTTTAGCATTACATCACTTGTTCACTAATGGATCCTCTGCAGTAAATGGGTGCCGTCAGAATGAGAGTCTAAACAGCTGATAAAAACATTGCAGTAATCCACACGGCTCCAGTCCAACGATTAAAGTCTTGTGAAGCAAAAGGCTGTTTATAATAAATCCATCAAGAAGTTTTTAACTTCAAACTGTTGAGTCCTCTATTGTGATGCGTTTATCAGATATTTGGTCTCTCATTCTTGACGGCACCCATTTACTGCAGAGGATCCATCGATGAGCAAGTGATATACAGTAATGTTAAATTTCTCCAAATCGGTTCTCATGAAACAAATTCACCTACTTCGTGGATGGCCTGAAGTGAGTAAATTTTCATCAAATTTTCATTTTGGGATGAACTATTCCTTTAAATACCATTTAACTGCTAAACTTAGGCTCCGACCTACCTGTCTATCCCATAGACATACACAACTCCAATCATCTCAGAGAAAGCAATGATGAGGAGAGGAATCGAGCCGGCAAAACTGTCAAACAGGGCTAGCCAGTAGTTCCCTGAGCCTTGCACAAATATCAGCCCAACCAGGCAGCACACCAAGCATGTTACCCCTGTTGTGAACAATGGAATGAGAAATTTTAACTTCTTCTGAAACGATACCATCACTTGGATGGAGATATCTGTAATGAATTCTTCATATTATGATGGTCAAAATGTAAGTCTAATTTATACCTGAAATAAGCTCTTTGGGCCAGCTTTTGGGAAAGACCTTCAGGTCCTGCAGGGGAACCAGAACACCCTCAATGTTGCCAAACATCGAGGACAGACCGAGGCAGAAGAGCATGATTAAGAACAGGACAGACCAGAGCGGAGACAGTGGCATCTTGGTGATAGCCTCAGTGAACACAATGAAGGCCAGACCTGTTCCCTCTACACCCTGTAAAAGTGTGAAATTCATTTGTTTCAAATAAATGCTGGTCTTTTTAAGTTTCCATTCATCAAAGTATCCTGAATTTTTTTTTTTATCATGGCTCCACAAAAACATTAAACACTATCTGTTTTCAACATTGATACTGATGTTTATTGAGCATCAATGATTTCTGAAGGATCATGCAAAGACTGCAGTATTACCGTTTTAGTGAATTTTTTAACGAATAAAAAATCAAAAGTCAAAAATCTTACAGAGTATATACCTAAACTATAACTGAAGGAATGCTGTACCCTTAGTTTTTGAAATAGTGATAATAATAATACTCATGTTGCACTGAGAGGATAGATCCTCACAAAAAAAAGCTAATTGTTTGTTTTTGTTCTCATATATATATATATATATATATATATATATATTTAACTAGTGATTTTATTTGGAAAAAAAAAATCCAATAATGGGAAAGTTAAATGTGTCATTAATCAATAGATTTCAATGGTGCTAATGTAACTACATTAGAAGTTGTTTGTATAATAATAGTAATAATAATAACAAACAAAAATGTATATTTTGTAGTTTAGATTTATTTAATGTTAATGATGCTCTTCAAATTTTGAAGATAAATTACACATTTTACCCCGCAGAGAGCACAAAATCCTTTCGTTTATTAGAATATATAAATATTCGCACCAGTATAGGTTGGTCTTGGAAGAACTTGGTATTGAAATAAAAAAGCAGTATATCACCCATCCTTATACTGTATACCTCACTGAGGAAGCTGTTTAGATCACAGGTCTTAAGAGCAAGGCTGCTGATGATATCAGGGTTTGTAGTATTAAGGCTGTGGAGAGCTTCTTGATAGTTGCTCTGAGTGATGCTTCCCTCTGGCAGATCAAATGTGTTCAGAAGAGTCAAGATGTTCCTGCAGGACAAAGTCAAGATAAGTGCTTCAGAATGGAGTTTAAATGTGTCATAACCACTGAGCTATATAATCTCTATTATAGATCAGTGGTTATAACACTATTCTAATATTTTAACAATAGTTCATGCATTAGGTATGATAAAACAACAACTTTTTATTTATAAATATATACATTTTTAAGAATGTGACACTACCAAACACTTACCCACTCAAACAGTCATCAAATCTCTCTGTAGCTCTGAACCCAATGATGCTGTAGATGACAGTGGCAGCGTAGATCGAGGTAAAGGCATTAATGATGGAGATGATTACTGCATCTTGCTCACAGTTATTGCTGATGGAAAGAGAGGGAATACTTAGTTTGATAATCACTGAGGTATTTGCAGTGAACACTGGGTGGGATTTTCTGTTGTGCTCTTATGCCGGGTTCAGACTTCATGATATTTTTGTCGGTCACGATAGTCACTGTCAGATTTCCCGATTTTGACTTCTAAAATCTTGTCGTGTCGGAGACAAGAAACATGTCAGACTATCGCAAGCCGTTTTAGCATTTAAAAGTTTGTTTTGACTATCCATAAATATCATTTAAGATAGGAACAATTGTATTTTGACGAGTCATAATTATAATTCGACTAGTCACAATGACAATTAGAGATATCTGCAATTATAATTGCACTAGTAAGAAATCGGATTAGAGAGATCTCTAAATACTTTGACTAGTCAAAACTCCATTTAAGATATCTGTAATGACGTCATAGATATCTTCAATAGGGCGTCACACATACGCAAAGGTAATTAGAGATATCTCTAATTCAGTTTCGACTAGTCACAATTATATTTTAAGATATCTGAATTGTACCTGCTCCTAGTCGAATGTGCTGTTGTTTGACGTGAGACTAAATTAACTCAGTTCCTCCCAGAGCCCCTCCCCGACTAATGTTTAGTGCTAACTGCTAACAACAGTGGTCTGCTTTTCTTGTCA